AAAAAATAAAAGAGGACTACTTCCTTTTTTTTTTTTTTTGTATATCTGTCGATCTGTTATGAGTGAGACATGTCAGAAGAGTACTATGAGCGAGATCTAGGCTAGGTTCCGCAAAGTTTCGGCTTTCACAAAATGCGATCTTGAAAAAAAAAATTTGCGAAATAGAGTAAAGATGCGATTTTCAGAAAACAACGAAATTCAGTTTCTGAGAATATGGCAACCTCCGTATATGCCTAACGAAATGTTGGTAGGCATCGAAGTGTTCGGTTTTCAAAAAAAAAAAATTGCGAGATAGAATGGAAATTCGATTTTCAGAAAATAATAATTCCGGTTTTCGAGAATATGACCACTTCTATCGCAATATGCCTAGAAAACGAAATACTAACATCAGAAAAATTCAGCTATGTATGCGAAATATCAGAGAAACGAAATGCTACTATCAGGAATTTTCAGACAAAACGAATTGCGATTTATCAGAAATTTTCAGATAGGTGTTGCGAGAAAAGAAAAAAAAAATTCAGAGATTTGACGAAGTCCTACTTGATTTACTAATGAGTGATCAATAGATCAAGCAAGCTGGCTACTTGATTGAGCGGGTCCTCTGAATGAGAGGTCCGCTCCGATACCAAACTGTTGCATACTGTAACGGTGCAGACCAGAACAAGAACTTCCTCGCGGCTTCTTCACGGCTTGGCGATGCTTCTTGATGTGGTTCTTGGCGATGGCGGTGGCGGCTTCTTGGCTCTTCACGGTGGTGATGGCGATAGCACGAACGCTCGGAGCTACCATGTCCGAATGGTTATGTACACCTAGTGCCGGGGCCGATTGTTCGAGTACTGTGCCCAGTCGCAACGAGGCCAGTGTTTGAACAGTGGCCCAAATTCTTGTCGGGCTGTTGTTTTTGTTTTTTTCTAGGCTGGTCCCTGGGCCGCCCAGCAGCCTGGTCTTCGCCCCGGGGGGGGGCCGGGCCGCCTGGCCGGTTGTCGCGCCCGGTTGGCCACCGGGCGCCCCCAGCGCATTACTGTAGGTAAGTTTTTTTTTTTTTTTTTTCGGCGCTGGGATCCTTTTTGCCCCCATGCTAGACTGTGTAGACCACCAAAAAAAAGGAAACGGGGCCGGTAGGCCCGATTTCACCGATTTAAATCGGGCCCGATCTTGATCGTCGATCTCAAAGATCGATGGCCCAGATGGCCGCGATTTCAAATCGGTGAGGGCGGGAACTACCAGCCCCCGTTCCCTCCCCCATACTCAAGCTGTACCCTGACATCCCCCCGTTCCCTGCCCTGTAGTAGTGTCGCGCCACCGGCCTTCAACGCGCAACTTAGGCACGCTTCTTCGACGAACCCGCCGGCACCTGCCAACGCCCACCATCACGCGTGCCCCCGCCGTCGCCCTTCAATGGCCGCCATCGCTGTTCCCCGCCATTGACAAGGTGAGGGACTCAGTTGGGAAGAGAGAGAGAGAGAGAGAGAGAGAGAGAGAGAGAGAGAGAGAGAGAGAGAGAGAGAGAGAGAGATTCTTCTTCTTCGCGTCTTCTTCTTCTTCTTCTTCTTCTTCTTCGCTTCTCTTCTTCTTCTTCTTCTTCTTCTTCTTCTTCTTCTTCTTCTTCTTCGATTTTGCTCATCCTATCGGTGGAAGTATCCTCTCTC